GGTTTCCCACATGTTCTGCTGATGTAACCTTTCAAGGATGCAATGCTTGGGCAGGATTACATAATTTGTGCCCAAGTGAACCAGGAAGTAGATAAACAATAATTGTAAGTAAAATAAAAATATGTTTGTTTAGTTAATGAATGTAGGATGGTTTCATATCAGCATGCAGAGCTGTATGCTGGTGTGATTTTTAGTGAAACGGGGTAAATGTTCACTTTAAAGGGCGCAAACTTATTTTTCTGGGTGACGGTCTGTTTTAAACTCCATGTTTGCATACTAACTTCTGCTCGGAGATCCTCTCCACCAATGGCCAACTCTTCCTCCATTGGCACATATCAGCACTGGAATCTCGGCCATGCAAGCTACCATTTCTCAAATGATGGATTTGTGCCTTGGGGTTCAGCAGGTGGTTATCCTTTGTCAAAAAAAATCCTGCATTATTGTCCCTCTTTCCCATTTCACACATGTGAGACATCGGTCAGAGCCTTAGGGAATCCTCCATATTTCCACTAGATGTTACCCGGCTTCTCACCGAGCTTCAGGTTATAATTCACAGCGAGTCTAATGGCCAAGGTGGCATCATATTGTCTCCGAGCTCGGCCTGTCACTCCACCGAAGAAGCAGCTCTAGGCCTCAGCTGGATTAGTAACTCAACCATGTCTTTTGTGAAAACAGTAATTTACCCATTTTCCAAAGAAAATATATATTTTCTACGGTAATGCAAGGCTGCCAGGAGACGTCAGCCGAGCATTTCCATGTCAGCGCAGCGTTCACTTTCTATCAGCCTCGGTAATTGATTGCACAGTAACTCGCAAATACGCCTGCCAGATGGCACTTACTTAACTTAAACGTCCCGCTGTATATTTTTCTTTTCACTCGCCTGAATAAAGTTTACATATCATAACTCTGTTAAGCGGAAGAATAACTTTCTGCGCAGAGAACAAGAAATGCCAAAGCTTTCATGAGCAAGACGTGTCCGTATGTTTATTTTCAGATTGTAGGAATTTTTTGAGACCAGTATACGGAATATTAAAAAAAGTTCCTAATACAGTCAAAAAATGTAACATTATAATTAAAGCTGAACTCCAGCCAGATATAAACAACACAAATTAATGCAGCTCTGTATTCATTAATACATCATTAAATGTAAGTTTACGTGCAATAAAAGTATCTGAATTTGACCTGGTTTCAGCTTTTTGAGGTCTCTGTAGAGTAGAGCTGGAGTGTGAGATGATGAAACAGTACCAGGAGAGGAGAGCAGAGTGACAGAGAGAGAGAGGAGCTTATCACGGCACAGCTTCTCCTTTCACTGTGCAGTTACGGGCTGGGGGCAGGCCTATGGGGACCTGGGCTCAATAGGTTGAATAATGTTGGCCATCAAACAGAGGACATCTAGTGGCAGAAAATAGGTAGTGCAATGGAAATCTCTGAATTAAACTTCAATATTGCATAAAAGCTGGTTTTGTTATGTTATCTTTTAATGGGCTATTCATCAAAACTTATTTTCCCATACATGCCCCTGTAAGTCATATTTGCCACTGCTCCCCCTATATATTCTTGGTCACCCTATGTTGACACCCCTCTAAATTATTGAATTGAGGTGTTTGTAGTATAGGACTCTCCATGGATCCAATTTACTTTGTTGCGGATACATAAATCGTGGTTTACTACCCGCAATGAAGTCCTATTCCCTATAGATAAGTCCAAGCACCACTATCCATTGTATGATAAAAGCACCATTAATAGAGTTGTAAAGTCCCAGCATATCCTCTCCTGTTATAACATCAGCATTGTAATAGGAATACATAGTAGAGCTGTTTTTGATAATACAATAAAAAGCTTACATGAAAAAATCCCTTTTATGTAGTGAGTGCTGCCTTCCGTCTGCCCATCACTTGCACCAAGTTCCTGGATTCCCAGTGTGCTTTGCGTCTCTTTCCCTGTTGCTTGATGGGATGCAATCTCCATTTCTCCAGACTACATATCCCACCATGCATTGCTTTCAGCAAGCAATGATAATATTACATTGTTCAGATGTTTACAAACTTCTAGATGGATATGGTTATTAGGAGCAGGGTAGAACGTATAAAAATTCAATAAAAAAATACAGATGTATTTTTTATTTTTGACTATAGATGGCCTATTTGTTCTAACTGTAGAGAGATGCAAGCTGCTCAGGGTCCAAATCCTGGACAGGTGAGCACTATGAGGGAGCGATAACATCAAGCATATTTGGGGCCCCCTGAGCTGATAGATTCTCTTAAAGAAATAAACAATCGTCTACCCCCGAACTGCAAGGGTTAAGTGCTGGTTTTGTCTGGAGGCCGAAGATATACTTACCTGATCCTCAAACCTCCCTCCCTGGTAGACTAGTCCCAGCAGCTTCTTCTCCCCTAGGCTGTGGCTGTCTAAAGACCCACGACATCTTCACATCTAATGCAGTCTATTATATAAGAGGTCGCCAAAAGGAGAGAGGTGAGCGGTAACTGCTGCAGGACCGAGGATTGGGTGAGTATTTCTTCATAATTTTCTATAATTGCACTGCGGATTATACATTATCTATCATGTCCAGAGCTTGACACATGATGGGAATAATATGCTGGCCATAGATGAGCAGATCTCAGCAGTGGTTACAAAATTTCCCCGGCTCATACCAATTGTGCTTAAATCTGTCACAATGTTTCCTTCTATGTCTTGCAACAGTTCAATCCGTGTCAGTGAAACGAACGTTCCTTATCCTCAGAAAAAGGTGAATTGCTTGACTGTGGAGAATTTAAAGTGATGAAAATCCTGACTACTGCTTCTGCACTTAGAAGTTGTGCTAACCAACACCAGATGTGCCCAGCACATGGCCCGAGACAATATGTGTACCGTATGTTTAGTGGGTGTTATTAACATTTTTGGGGACCATTGTTTTTATTTCTCATTATAGCTGAGATGTGTCACACTTGTCATTGTAATACACAGTGTAACACATGCATACAGATAGGCCTGGAGCCAGGAAAAGAAGAGGAATGAGCGGAAGGCCTACAAGACAAGGGCGGGAAGGGGAACCAGGGCAGGAAGGTTTAAAGCAGGGGTTCTCAACCTGTGTAACCTCAGGACCCACATTTATCCTTAGTCATTAAGTCGCGACCCAAGTCGCACTGCAATGGAGCGCATGGCATTAGGGTACCGCGTTCCAGTGCAGGCGTGGGAACTGTGGGTGGGAGGTGCGTTTGGGGTAAATGAATGGCAACGCAACACACCCCTCACATCAGAATGCATAGTAGGTGTAATTGCGTGGTACAGTTTAACGTACTGTACTAGTGTGAACGGGCCTTCAAATACACACTCCAAATGTATTTTTATTTTTTTAAGGTCCACCTAGTCTCCCTACCTTACGAGAACTGAAGTAGATCCTCAGCCTGGAGTCCGGTGTGGGCTGCTGTGCTGTGACGGAGCACCATCTACAGTATATCTGCATTGCTTGTACAGCTCCCTTGCGTGCCCTGTAGAGGTACCAAGAGCCAGAATGTGACATCACTCCGGTCCAGGCACCTCTACAGGACACGTGAGGGAGCTGTAAGCAATGCAAATATGGATGGAGCTCCCTCGTGGCCATAGCCCCATCCCACCTCAAGCTGACACTCGGCACAGAGCAGCATATTTTGAATGTTTGCTTGGCGTTAGAAGTAACAGTGATGTGCTAGGGGGAGGCAGAGGAGCCTCCCGCCTAGAAAAGTGCAAGGCATGCGGCGACCCACTGAACATGGGATCGCGAACCACTTTTGGGTTACGGACCACCAGTTGAGATCCAAGGGTTTAAAGAAAGGTAGAAAAGTAAGGTGGGGGCACTTACCGGATTGGGGAAAAGAGGTCAGCTAGCAGGGGCATTGGAGGGAGGTCTGCAAGAAGGAGTCACCATGATCCAGTTAGAGAGATCAGCAGACAAGAGGCAAGCGTCCCTCTCACCCGACAGTTGGTTGTCAGTTTGGATCCTTAAAGGCTTTTGCTGGGGTTTTTGATAAATAAGGGAAGTAAGGAATATTTTGCAGGGCGCTAAATATTCAAGCTCCCAGCAATGTGTAAAGGTGTTTTGATGCACACCAATCTTGATAATTCAACAAAATAATCAGACTAGTGGCAGTGTATAAAGTGCGTAAAGGTGCTTAAATATGATTCTAAAAACTAATAGTTCATCCTTGTACCAATCCAATTAGTACATCTAATAGATATCACGTAACACATCAGTGTGATGTATAAAGTTGAAAAAGTGTTCAATCAAAGATCCTTGATCATACAGTATATTGCACCAATCGAATTAATACATCAAATAAATAGCATGTAACACATCAGTGTGAATTATAGAGTGCAAAACGTGTTCAATTAAAAATTTGTGACAGTCCTGATTAAAGCAGCCCAAATAGGGACCAATATGGATCAATTAATAATGTCCTCGAGGCGGTGTATGGCGGCTGTGGGCATCAGGTACAAAATGTGACCGCAGATGTAAATGTGTTTTATGGTTAATAGTTCCTTCAAGGACCTGAAACCTGAGATTTCATATGGCCTGGTTATTTGTTGCTGTTTGTTATTTATAAATATGTTATTTATATATTTTTTTTGTTAATAAAAGGCTGCTGTGGTCATTGAACTCCATCCAATGGTGTTATGGTATTATATAGCGCAGGGAAGGATTTGGGGTTGAAATGGTAAAAGGGGCTTAAGTGGATAAGGGGGACCTCTTCTACACTACCTTAGTCATGACTTAGGACAGCTATTTGTTACTGAATGTATTCAGAGAATGTAACAGAACATGTCCAGGGTGCAGGCACTGGAATAGAACACCTAAAAACAGGAAGAACATTTCAGTAACATTTCCTGTCTTTTGCTCAGCAAGCTTTTCCACTATATTCTATGTAAGTACATATGTTGTGGAATAATGAAATTTTCCCGTTTCAGCTGTACCATTGGCTAAGCCCGGTGCATCTCCTAAGATGTTTTTGTTTATCTTTCAGGTGGACTGTGCCCAGGATCCGCAGATCCGTGTTTGAACAAGCCGTGTCCCGAGGATATGCAGTGCGTTGGATATGAAATCAGTCGGAGACCTTTCATCTGTCAGTGCCCACCAGGCAAACTCAGCGAATGTTCAGGTACAATCCATTATTCAAAAGAAAATTATCAAGTCAGCCACGAGCGTTAAGCATTTTTCAGTATGAAAGACTACAGATGTGTGTTATCCCTAAACCCAAAGGTAATAAATAAAAATACATAGCACAGCAGAAAAGCAAGCTTGCATGCTGTACTACAAGGATAAATGCTAAACGAGATCACACTGTAGCAGGCATGTCAAACAAGACTCTTGTGGTTCTCTTAACCTTCCTTTACAGCCCTTAGCTAAGGTTAGATATTGAACTTAAAAGTACACTTCATTAATGTTTACATGTTAAAATATTAATAAGGAGGCAAATTAATTAACTAATGACCGTGGTTTTTCCACCATCAGTAGATTTGTAGCATTTATAAAGCTTGTTTGTCTATACATCCCCATGAGTCACATTTGCCACTGC